TGAGTTTTAAGCCACCGGGTCCGGGACACGAACCGCGGTCGACTACATGGGAGTCCAGCGACATAGCCATTACACTAACTGCTGGTTTCCGGAGAGGTTTTTGATATAGGGCGCATATGCTTGCCAGAAAGACAGAGACAGACAGAAAGTGAGAAATCACCCCCCAGGGGGGATGGTCACGCTGCAATCCCTTCTCCTCCATTCTCCTCTCGGGATCCTGGGCACGCACGCACACGCGCCCGGCGTGAGTTTTAAGCCACCGGGTCCGGGACACGAACTGTGGTCAGCTACATGGGAGTCCAGTGATATAGTCATTATGCCAACTGCTGGTTCCCCCCATTGGTTCTTTACAGATGTTCATTGAGGTCTGAATTCCTTAAACTCAAGCTAGGAGCACTTCTCCACATATAATAATTTAACACTAGTAAATCAACATATCCAATAATAAAGAATTTATATCATGATATATGTTATGGTACATTCATACAATGGCATAATAGGTAGCCACTTCACTTTGAATAATGACATAGGAAGAAATGTTCATAATGTACAAAGGGTCTTCGCAAAGTTCATGGGAAATGCATATAATGAAAACTTCACACATGGGTTTCAATAATTTTGCACCAAAATAAACTTATACTTTAATTCCATCTTTCCACAAACTTTTTGAAGTCCCTTGTATTTTATTTTATTTATTTTTTGCTGGAGGGTGCATGCACTTGCTACAGAGGGAGAGAGAGAGAAAAAGAAAGTGAGAAAGCGCATCCCAGGGACTCTAATCCCTTCTCCTGTCTCCTCTAGGGATTTTGGGTACACACATGTACCTGCTGTGTTTTTCAAACTGCGAGGTCTATTACTTGAACCATGCAATTGGCTACAGGGATCCAGCCACCTTAAGCAGCACACTACCTCGCTGGGCTTTTTATTATTTTAAAGCATTTTAAAAAGAATTATTTATTTATTTAATCTTACTTGTTATTTTTAATTTTAAAATATTTATTTATTTATTTATTTATTTATTTATTTATTTATTTATTTATTTATTTATTTATTTATTTATTTATTTTTTTCTTTTTTTTTTTGGAGAGGATTTTGCTATAGGGTATGTGTGCTTGCCAGAGAGATAGAGAGACAGAAAGTGAGAAATCACTCCCTAGGGGTGGATGGCCACGATGCAATCCCTTCTCCTCTATTCTCCTCTTGGGATCTTGGTCACGCACACATACATACCCGGCGTGAGTTTAAGCCACCAGGTCCGTCGGGACTCAAACAATGGTCGACCACATGGGAGTCCAGCAACATAACCATTACACCAACTGCTGGTCCCAGCCCTGTATTTCTTGATTATCTTTTTTCTTTTCTTTTTAACAACTAACCTTTTTAATTTTTTTAGAATTTTAAATTTATTATTAAATTTTTTTTTAAGAGATTTTTTGCTATAGGGCACATGCACTCACTGGAGAGACACAGAGAGACAGAAAGTGAGGAATTGCCCCTTAGGGGTTGGCCATGCCTTAATCTCTTCTCCATTCTCCTCTTGGGATCTTGGGCACCCACGCACACATGCCCATCATGAGGTTTAAGCCACTGAGTCCAGGACTTGAACCACTTTTAACTACATGGGAGTCCAGCAACAACACTATTATGCCATCTGCTGGTCCCTGTTATTGTTATTTTCTTAATTCACCAGAGAGAGAGCGGGAAAGAGAGAAAACAAGCTACCAAGCCTGGGACTCAAACCATAATTAACCATGTGGGAGTCTAGCACCTTAACCACCATGCCACCTGCTGGCCCCTCTTATTTCCTTTTTGGTCAGAGTCACTGAAAATCTATGCCTCCAGAGATCTAGTTGGCTTAGCCCTAATATTTGGGGATAGAGGCTGGGCCACTGTGGAAGGTCTTCAGTGAGGGCCTCTGCAGAGCCATGGTTTTGAGGAGCCAGGGGTCTAGGATATAGATCTGAATTGGGGTGTCCAGGAATTCCCAATCCTCACCTTGGCCTGTGCCACTTCTTCACTGGTGAGCACGAAGAGGACATCCCGGGTGTGAAGCAGAGACAAGGGCAGGTCCAGGAGGGAGGTATACTTGCGCAGCATGTTCACAGACTGCAGCGTGAGCACAGAGCACCCTGGTATGGACGGATGAGAAGTAAAGAGCCTTGTTCCTGCCTAGATTCTCCAAGCACCCACCAAGCCCTGTGGCTCAGGGCAGGGCAGGGCAGGGCAGGGCTGCAGAGTTGCCAGGGTCTCCATAGCACCATGCTCTTTGCCCATTGTTCCCACAGATAGGAAGAGTGGAAATGCCACAGATGCCTGTCTCATCACCCTTATCCCCCACGTGCCCTCTCAAGAAGTCAGGTGTGGGACCAGCAGAGGGCGTAGTGGTTATGTCGCTAGACTCCTATGTGGTTTGGGTGGGGACCCGGTGACCTGAAACTCACCGGGGCACATGTGCATGCCCAAGGTGAGAATGGGGCCAGCAGATGGCATGATGGCTAAGGCACTGGACACTCCCACATGGCTGACCATGTTTCGAGTCCCAGACCTGGTGGCTTGCTTTCTTGTTTTCTCTCTCTCTGTCTCTCTCTGGTCAAATTAAAATAAGTGAATGAATAAATAAAATAAATAATTATTTTTAAAAAAAGAATCAAGTGGATGGAGGTCACCTTCCAAAGGCCTCACAGCGTGGTGAGCTCAGTACACCATGCGGAAAGGGCACACGAATCTTCCTACTGTTCCTGTGTGGTATGACAGACCAGAGAGGTTAAGCATGGGTGTCATGCAGTAAACGGCCAACTGGAGTCAAACACCTTCCTGGGGTTAGTAAGAGTTTCTAACCCAAGTATATTAGTCCAACAAGCACCATCAGCCTTTTACTGCCTGGCTGGTCCACTGGGGGTTGAGCAAGTAGCAAGCAACATTGCAAAGGGACAGGTCTTACCTTTAGGTAACTTCCCTTCCGAGTGCAGGGCCCTGGAGGAGGGAAAGGAGAGAGAAAGTGTTAAGAGCTGCCTGTTGCTTTGCAGTTGATTGGAGAGAAGCCCTTGGAGGAAGGCCAGTCATGCTCCTGTCCTCGCATGGGTGCCCAGATGGTTTCTTTTGCATAAATCACTTTATAGGTTTCTGGGATTCCTGACCTCTGGCTATAGCTGAAGGGATCAGGGTGGGCACTTTACCTAAGGCCTGTCAAGCCAGAGGGTGGTCAAGGGCTTATGAAAAGCTCTGGTCCATGCCTCACCCTTTGGACTCTTCAAAGTTTTTCTCTTGAAACTGTAATGCAGTAGGGTGGGAGGCTATTCATTCACATTAATTTCCTGATACTGCCTATCTCTTTTCTGACCACCCCGCTCCCACTTCTGACACTGAAGGCCATTCTGTGCTAGCCACCTTAAGAGGAGGGATGAAGTGGGTCCAATGGCAATGATCTCCCTCATCTGTTGTTTTGAAAGCTGGGAACGAAGAAAGATGGGGCAGTACTTCCCCACAACAAAGACACACATATGTACAGGGACTCGGGAGCAGGGGGAGTTGGGAGAAAATTGATAAACATAAGGAAGTGACTCCCTGGCAGAGCCCTGGGAATATTCTGAGTGTGAGGTAGGCAGGGTAACACAAGAAGAGGTAGGTGTGGGGCTGGCAGGTGGCATGGTGGTTAAAGGCGCTGGACTCCTACATGGCTGACTGTGGTTCAAGTCCAGGACCTGGCAGCTTGCTTTCTCGCTCTCTCGCTCTCTCTCTCTCACTCTGTAATTCTCTGGTCAAATTTAAAAAAATAAATAAACAAATAAATAAAATAATTATTAAAAAAAAAAGAAAGAAGAAGAGGAGGGAGGTGCATGCTGGAGGCCTGTGCCTGGAAACCATGCACGCAGCCTATATGGCCCTAAAGTCACGAGGACTCTCTTCTTGGAAGGGCCAGGGAGAGAGCCCTGGGAGAGCGGCACTGAGGGGACCTCTGGAGAAGTGGCCAGATGGGGGAGGATGAGTTGGCACCTTGCAAGTCAAAGCAGCTCAGTGAGTAACAGGCAGGAGCAAAAGCCACAGAAAGCTCAAGACAGATGAGAACTAAAATGAGTCCAGGGACTTTAGCAGGCAGGAGAGACAATGGTGGGGAAAATGGTTTTATTCATAGTAGGCTGGGGGCATATCGATCACTTGGTTTTTCCACAGCACAGTGGCCTAGTTAGTGCAGAGACCTGCAGTGTGAAGAGCCTGTGGCACCCCGGCTCTTCCAAGGACAGTGGCCCCAGGCAGTTCTGGCCACAGAGGCTGTCCCCTTGGGTTCTCTCTTGGAAAGAAACCTTCCCTGTGTTCCCACTTCAGTGGCAAACAGACAAGGGATGACACCAGGCAAATCAGCCTCGAGTGCCCTGCAGCCTGCTTGATGAAGTCCTGGTTTGCTGCAGTGGGCCTGATCTGACCCTCTCGCTGGTGCAGTGTAAATAGTTGGTGAGAACTTGCAAGGCTTCGGTGAATACGTGGAATGAGGCAGAGCCGCTGGTCTAGTTCTCCCCGGAGCCTGCTGTCCTGAGAAGCCCAAGGCCCCAGAGCAACCGTGGTTTGGAAAGCTCACTCTGGACTGCCTCATTTTCTTATGTATCTTCATGAAAAACTGCATCTGACTAACTGAAAGATGTGTCTGAAGAGACCTAATGGGACAGCAGCATGTCTCCTGTACAGCTGTTGCCTCAGGCTGGGCCAGGAGTGAACGGTCTTTACGGGAGGGGAGCGCAGTCCGGCCTCCTTTCATTCTATAGTCAAGGACACGAGAGGGCTGTCTGGAAAGAGTATATGGGCAATAATATCTAGCATCTTCGTCTAAGTACAATTTAGGGACAAGGCTGCAGAGTCCCCAGGTTGGATTTGTCTTCGCATGTATCTGACAGGATGACGAATGAAGAATCAGGATTTCTGGACTCTGGATCTGCCCCTCCATGTTTTCACACTGTGGTGCTGGCCCAACCACTTCACCACTTCAGGAAAGTGAGGTGGCAGACTTAATGACTAGTGAGGTAATTTCTTTTTTTGTTTTTTAATTAACTACTTTTTTTTTGGGGGGGGGAGAGATTTTCGCTATAGGGTGTGTGTGCTCGCCAGACAGACAGAGACATAGGGACAGAAAACGAGAAATCACCCCCCCAGGGGGGATGACCACACCGCAATCCCTTCTCCTCCATTCTCCTCTCTGGATCTTGGGCACGCACGCACACGCGCCCGGTGTGAGTTTTAAGCCACCGGGTATGGGACGCAAACCACGGTCGACTACGTGGGAGTCCAGCGACATAGCCATTACGCTAACTGCTGGTTCCCATTAACTACTTTTTTTTGAGGGAGGAGAGTTGTTTTTTGTTTTTTGTTTTTCCTTCCTTTCTCTCTCTCTCTCTCTCTCTCTTTTTTTTTTTTGTTGTTGTTTTGCTACAGAGCGTGTATGCTTACTGGAGAGACAGAGAAACAGAAAGCAAGAAATCATCCCCTAGAGGGGATGGCCAGGCTAAAATCCCTTCTCCTCCATTCTCCTTTCAGCATCTTGGGCATGCATGCACATGAACCTGGGGTGAATTTCAAGCCACCAGGTCTGGGACTCAAACTGTGGTCAACCATGTGGGAGTGTAGCACCTTAACCATTATGCCATCTGCTGGCCCTAAGTTATTTGTTTATTATTCACAAAAACATGTGTGCATATATGAGAGAGAGGGACACCCATAACAGGGTCTCGTCATGCTATGATCCTCTTCCCGTAGCCCTGCAGGCTGTCAGGATCATGGGCATGAATGTACTCAGCATGTTTTTGGGTTCCCTCAAACACTGAGCCTGTGGTTGGCCACGTGGCTTCCAGCACTGCAGTTCAGTCTGCTACCACCTGCACCACCGAGGCTGGGCCAGCTGGTAAGGTCCTTTCTAACTTCCTACTTTTCATTGCTCCAGACCAAGACTGGTGGGCGTGTTTAAAAGGAGGTTATAAAATCAGGCCTTCACTTCAGATTGCCCCTTTTCTTCTTCAGAAGCAAGGACAGGCCACCATGCCACTGATCTGGGACCCAGGAGAAGCACTTCAGTGGACAGCAGGAAACACAGGCTGTGTTGATAGGACTTAAGTCACTCAGTAACTCTGAGGTTCCATTTTGTTTTACTAGTAAAATGCAGACGAATGCCAGTAAAACAGTGTGGCTGTGAAGAACAAACGACATTGCATATTACACATGTATAGCCTCCTCCATAAAAAGAATTGAGGTAGTGTATAAAATACACAGTGAAAGCTGACGAAATAAGTGAGTAAGGCAGGGAAAAGAGCCGGAGTCACACTGATTGCCACCACTCCTATCTTAAAGTCTCATCCATGGGGGCTGGCAGGTGGCATGGTGGTTAAAGGTGCTAGAATCCCACACGGCCAACTACAGTTCGAGTCCCAGACCTCACAGCTTGCTTTCTCACTTTCTTTCTCTTGGGTCAAATTAAAAAATAAATAAGTAATAATAATAATAGCAAATGGAATTAAATAAATAAATAAATAAATTTAAAAAGTGATAACAAATGAATAAGAATGATTTGTTTATTTATTTATTTAAATTTGATCAGAGAGGGACAGAGTGATGAAAGAGACAGAGAAAGTGAGAAAGCAAGCTGTGAGGTCTGGGACTCGAACTGTAGTTGGCCGTGTGGGATTCTAGCACCTTTAACCACCATGCCACCTGCTGGCTCCAATAAATAAATAATTCTTTCTTTTTTTCTTTGGAGAGGTTTTTGCTATAGGGGATGTGCGCTCACCAGAAAGAGAGAGACAGAGAGACAGAAAGTGAGAAATAAACCCCCAGGGGGGATGGCCACACCACAATCCCTTCTCCTCCGTTCTTCTCTTGGGATCTTGGGCACGCACGCACATGTGCCTGGCGTGACTTTAAGCCACTGGGTCCAGGACTCGAACTGCAGTCGACTACATGGGAATCCAGTGACATAGCCATTATGCAACTGCTGGTCCCATAAATAAATAATTCTAAAACAAACAAAAAAAGTCTTGTCTATGTGCTACATGGATCACAAATTTGACCTGAAAGTTTCCTAGGGCTGAGGCAAAGGAAAATAAATCAGTTACCTCATTTTTAGTAACTATGTATTTTTTTTAAAAATGCAGCTGTTTAGGAGATAAGAATTTCTTTTACAAAACATTTTTTTATTGCCAGAGGGCATGTGTGCTTGCAAAGAGAAGGAGACACACACAGAGAGAAAAAGCACCCCCTTAATGAAGCATGATCACACCACAGCCCCTTTTCTTCCCTTTTTTCAGCCTATCAGGATTTGGGGAATGTACACATATATACATGTTTGGTGTGTGTGTGTTTTAAATAATTATTTTATTTAACTTTACTTATTTATTTTAATTTGACCAGAGAGGGACAGACCAAGAGTGAGAGAGAGAGAAAGCAAGCTGCCAGATCCAGGACTCAAACTGTGGTCAGCCATGTGGGAGTCTAGCATCTTTAACCACCACATCACCAGCTGGCCCCTCTGGTGTGTTTTTTAAGCTGCTTGGTGGAGGCAAATCCCGTGGTCAGCCATGTGGGATCCAGCTCCCTTAGCTACTAGGCAACAGGGCTGGCCTAGGAGACAGCATTCTTCTAAGCTCAGGGAGAGACTGCTCTTAGAGAGGTCAGGGGTGACAAAGTGAACAACATGGCCAACAATGGCTCTGTGATGATTCAGTGTCACCGGGCTCAGATAACCAGTAGCAAATGTTTCAGGAACCCCAAGAAAATGAACAACCTTCTCCCACCCCCATTACCCGGACGATCATACCTCACGGCCGCGTACAGAGCAACATGATTGCTGTGGCCACTTACTCCCCCCGCATCAAAAGTCACCACCTGTAGGGAA